ACGAAAGCCTGTGCGTCACTAATTTGTTAACCGGAATGTACTATAGTATTATTGAACTTGCATCGCTTTATTAAATTGTCGCGCTGACTAATAAACGTTGAAATCCAATTCATTTTTAGATATAATTTAAATATAATGATGCACAACCTAACGTGCCAAATAAATGGACCCTATTGTAATAAATTACATCTAATCGACACTAACAAGCTTGTTAGTAATAATATTTCATTGACGAAAGGTAGATATTACCTTTCTAATTATTATAAGAGACAGATAGCAATTTCGCTATCATATTATTTTTCCATTACAGCCAAGAACTTGGCTAAAACTATTGCTTCTATTGAGCAAATTGACATTACCCATAGCGACTTTGCCAATCCGTTGGCAGATATTTCTTTAGACATTAATAAAAATTTAAATGACATACCTAATAATTTACATAATAATGAGATTGACATTTCAAATAATTTAAATTTACTGATAAGACAATAGAGACTACCTCTTGCAATATTAATTTGATCACTAATAGAAAGTTCAATCACAGTAAATTTATTAAAAATAATATGATAAATAATATAAATTTGGTGCATCAAAACATTAGAGGAATGATGGGCAAAGACTTGGAGGTGGAACTGTTCATGAACTGCAATGCAATTGATATTTTTTGTATTACTGAACACTGGCTAAAAGGGGATCAGTTTATGTTCAATTTTGACCACCACCAGGTAGGCAGCTCGTTCAGCAGAAGTACAGCAATACATGGTGGCACTATGATACTCATTAATAAGAAACTTAAATTTAAAGAGCGCCATGACATTGTTAGTTTATCAGTTGAGCGAACTACAGAAATAGCCTGTTTAGAACTAAAAGGTTTCATAGTAGTATGTGTATACAGACCTCCTTCAGCTATGTATGATTGTTTTGAACGTGTTATGGATGAAGTATTAGTTAAAGTAACAAGATCAAAAAAGAAGGTCATTATCTGTGGTGACTTCAATATTAACCTATTGGAAAATTCAAGTATAGTAACCAAGTTCAAGGCACTTTTTCAATCATACAATCTGAAGAACTTGTTCTTGGAGCCTACACGAATCACTGCCACCACTGCCACATGTTTGGACAATATATTTACAGATATTGTTATTAAGGACAAGAAAATAATCAATCAATTACAATCTGACCACTGTGGTCAATTAGTATCTTTCTGTGATAGGTATGAAAAAGTGTCAGAAAAAAGAATTGTGGTGATACCTAAAACCGCAAAGCGTTGTGAAAACTTTAAGGATAAACTTAAAGCTGCTTTTAATAATTCAGTACTCTGTGTAGAGAATAACCCTAATACTTATTATAATAGTTTTTTTGAAACTTTCTCTTCAACATTTAACACCATTTTTACACCAAAAACGCTAGTGGTTAAAGGTAACGCCACATTTAGTGAATGGGCTACCCCTGGCTTACTCAAAAGTAGGAAAAGATTATACGAGCTATACGATGAGAGGAATTATAATAAAAGTGAACAGTTTCATAATTATGTTAAAGAATATTCGAAGCTGTTTAGGAAACTTTGTAAACTGGCTAAGTCTCGTTTTATTAGTTCAAAGATTAAAAGTAGTAATGATAAGATTAAAACCACTTGGAAAATTATTAATAGTGAAACTGGCAAAGATCCAAACCGTAATAATGAATTTAATTTAAACATAAACAATAAATTTATCACATCAAATGCTGAGGTTGCTGCTGCATTTGAGAATTTTTTTACTAACATTCCTGTATCAACTACTAAATCTTTGAACTCCTCACCATACCTTGCAGAATCAATTTTAAAAGAGAATGTTAGAAGAATTGATAGTGAATTTAAGTTCCAATATGTGTCCACCTTTGAAATTATTAAAGCCTTTAACACTATTAATGTTAAAAAAACAACCGACCTATGGGGAAATTCTGTTTTAATTACTAAGACAATTATATCTCTTGTGGCTAATCAATTGTCATTTACATTTAATCAATGTGTTGATAGTGGTGTATTTCCTGATCTTATGAAGTCTAGTAAAATTATTCCCTTATTCAAATCTGGTAGTACATCTGACCCAACTAACTATAGACCTATCTCAGTACTACCAGTATTTAGTAAAATTTTTGAAAAAATTATGTATGATCAATTGCACAGTTTTTTTAATAATAATAATTTATTGCACAATAGACAATTTGGTTTTACAAGGGGTCGCTCCACAACTGATGCTAGTGTTGAGCTAGTAAAACATATATTTGATGCCTGGGAGGATGCCCACGATTCTCTAGGTATCTTTTGCGATTTATCTAAGGCTTTTGATTGTGTTGTTCATGAAACGCTGATCAGGAAATTACAGCACTATGGTATCAAAAATAAAGCCCTGGAACTACTTGCCTCATATCTATGTAATAGGATTCAAAAAGTTGATATTAATGGTGAGCGGTCTCCAGGCTCTGTGATAGAAATGGGCGTTCCACAGGGTTCTATTCTCGGCCCTTTTTTGTTTTTAGTATATATTAACGACTTACCTCACTTTGTCAAGGACAATCTCGAGATTGTGTTGTTTGCAGATGATACATCACTATTATTTAGACTAAAACGGACACTTTCTGATTTCACATTTGTAAACAGCGCCATTTCGAAAGTGGTTCATTGGTTTGATGTCAACAATTTACTATTAAATGAACAAAAAACTAAGTGTATACGTTTCACTATGCCAAACGTCAAGCCAGTGAAAACTACTGTGATAATTAAGGATGTCGGGCTGGACCTTGTGGACACTACGACATTTTTAGGTATAACACTAGATGCTAAGCTACAGTGGGGCCCACATATTGATAAATTGTCGAGTAGACTCAGCTCAGCAGCATACGCAGTAAGGAAAATCCGAGAGTTGACTGATGTTGATACAGCACGACTTGTTTACTTCAGTTACTTTCATAGCATAATGTCGTACGGTATTCTGCTGTGGGGGAATGCTGCCGACATTCAAACTATTTTGCTAGCAAGAGCTTTGCAAGAGAGCTATTCGAGCACTTTATAATTTAGGCAATCGTTGTTCATTGAGGCAGAAATTTAAAGAAATAAATATAATGACAGTGGCAAGTCAATATATTTATGAAAATGTAATATATGTTCACAAAAATAAAGATAGCTTTTTGAAAAAAAGTGATGTACATGCCATAAATACCAGATATAAAAATAAATTTGTTGTACCCGCCTCTAGGCTCCAAAAGATAAACAAGTCTTTTCGAGGTCAATGTGTCCGATTTTATAATAAAATCCCAAATAATATTCAGGAGTTGAGTATTAACAAATTTAAATCCGCAATAAAACGTGGCTTGTGCCAGAGGGCCTACTACTCGATTGTGGATTACATGGAGGACAAGAATGCTTGGGATTAATTAGCGCAGGCTATTTCTTTCTTAAGTAAAAATGTGGTGTGGCTAGTATGTTTTTTATTATTTTTTCTATTTTTTATGTTTCACTTCATTTTCTCTTGTATTCGTTTGTTCTTCTTAATCTTGTTTTCTCTTCGTTGTTTTTTCACCTTTAAGTCCTTAATAACGGACATACTAGCACACATCAAAACAATGTTGTGATATATTTAATAGTGCCATTGTATCTACTTGTGAATTGCAAAAGAGTGGCCATGAGTTTGTTTGCCCTTTCTTCTCATAAGGCTCAACCCCTTGGAAACGGGCGGTTGTAGATCGGCACAGGCATATCATAGATTTTGTATGGGTTTGATTTTGTTAAATTTATTTGGTTACTATTTGACAAAACAGAGATTGTTGCTTTTGTGTGTGTTGATCTATGACTTTAGAGTCTACATGGAAGACGATTTCAAACAATTTTGAAAATTTTATGAAATAAAGAAAGTTTGAGTTTGAGTTTGAGTTTGATTAGGCATATTTTTTGTCAGACGGAACAATCGCTCCTTAAATTGGGTATAGTAGTGTACTCTACACGCAGTAAACTGGGTCCGCCCCTTAGTAGCTGTGAACACTCATAAAAAAAAAAACAGTAGCGTCAGTCTATTTATATAACATTACACATGGTCCTTCGAGCCATTAATTCTGATTAACGTTAACAAAGTTCTTTAGTTAATATATCGTGTATGAATCAATTAGTTGAAATTGAATTAAATACGGTTGTAAACAAATTGACAGTTACAACAACAAACTGTGAACATAAAGATACTGAATTGTTTTTTATCTACCGACATAGAAGTTGAACAAACTACATCACAATGTTCAATATTTAGTATTTAAATACTACGCTATCGCTATGAGTGTAATATATAAAGTGGGGCTCAGGGCAGGGCTTCTGAAATCTTTGGTCGTGGTCCGACTGTTAGTAGGCGAGGCGAGGTGAGGTTCTATGTCCTTTATATAGGTGTGGCGCAGTGGTGGTGGTAGATATGTGGTACGGGCCGAGTCAATACAGAATAAATAACAATAATAATATTGTACCACATTCACACAACGCCATCTAGTCCCAAACTAAGCAGAGCTTGTACAATGGGTACTAGACAACTGATATAAATACATATATACTTTTTTTTTTGTAAATACATACATATTATACATAGAAACACCCAGACCAAATCAAACATTAAAAGTTCATGCACAAAAATGATTGATTTGAGCGGGAATAGAAACCGCGACCTTTGGAATAGCAGTCCGTAACACAAACCGCTAAGCCATCCGGTCGCCATATCTTATATTAAGATCTAGCTTACCCCGGCGACTGCGTCTTTCGAAAGGAATAAATTTTATCCAATACGAATTTAAAGTATCCGTGTAGTTGCTTAATATATAAAGTTCTTATAAAATATTTTCTGTAGCTACCAAATTACTAACTACCCACTAAAATTAACAATTTTTTTTCATGTTACTTTTAATTCATATTCAAGTAAATCAGTTTTCGTCTAATGGCCACTGGTTACTGGCTTCAGTTTTTGTCATGGTGTAATATGTGATTGCAGATTCAGCCGCCTCGTCCTCAGCTGGGGAGACCACACCCAGGGTCAAGAGGAAATACACAAAGAGGACGCCGAGCACTAAAAAAGATGCTGTGAGTATCTTTTTATCCGATTACATTGAAATAAGGTTTAAGTTTCACTTTTTTGTATGGTATAGGTGTGTGGAGGGGTGTCATGTCCCTCCAACACAAAGGGAGGATCCTCCTACCAGGCTAGGTGATCATCCCTGGCGGGCCGCGGCCTAACGCTTGATGTTTGGAAGTATATATGCCAATTGGCGAGAGAATTCTTTATATCGCGATACAGGATTAGCGATTCTCATTCAATAGTTACTCCTTAGTTCGGTATGTCTTCGTTAGATGGCGCTGTAGTATGTTTCTTTGTTTCATCGTATGTGGAAGTCGCCACATCACTCCCCTCCAAGACCGGAGGTCGATATCCTGTTGTGGAGCGTGCTAGTGCCAGTAGTGAATAGTTCCAGCGAATCTGAACTGAGTGCCGCTAGTCCCAGTGCGTCGGGATTGTGTGCGGTCACCCGATGTTAAGTGGCTATCTCCACCCATGGACGAATGCAATTCAAAACTGAAACTCAAGTAGACTTGGCCTATGTCCAGCAGTAGACGTCTTTCGGCTTAGAAGAAGTGCGTTACCCATTTTTCGAGTCGCCCAAACCCTGGGCCTGATTTGAGGCCTCAATAATGGGCAACCCCCCCACAGGGCCAGGGGCGGGGTAGGGGGGGGGGGTCAACAAGTTAATTAATAATAAATATTTTTGTCTGTAGGTTCCAACAGCGGACCGCGTGAAGGGTAAACGTGGCAGACCCAGGAAGGTGGACCAGCTTGCCGCAAACAAACAACAGGCCCAACAACCTAGTGAGTATATTATGTAAAGTTAATTAACGGACCTGTTGGTCTAGTAGTTCGATTCCCACCTAGGACAAATATTTGTGTGATGAGCACGATCATTTGTTCTGTGTCTGGGTGTAATTTATTTATACAAATAAATATATTGAAGTGTCTATTTGTTATGTCAAAATGATAGGTTATTTTCATGCTCACACGGTTATTTGCACGATACCTATGCCTAAGAATCAGTTTTAATACTTTTTTGTCTGTATGTTTGTTCCGGATGTGTTCTAAACGGCTTTACCGATTTTGATAATATTTTACTATCAGGTGTCTATGTAAGGAGGAAGTTAGGCCATTTTTTCTCTCATAAAATCGTTATAAAATTTTGCCTGGTCTGGAAATCGAACCCACCACTAAGGCAGCGCTTTTAAAATTACACGCAAACGAAGTCCCGGGCACCAGTTAGTTCAATAAACGAGTGGGACCACTTTGTGGGACCAAAATTCTCAATATTTAAATCTTGTTATTAAAGTCTCACATGCACGGATGGCGTAGTGGTTTAAGCGGTCGCCACGCCGCTTCTTACTACACATGGGACGACACTTTGTGTGATCCACAAATTGTTGTTCTGAGTCTGGGTGTTCTTTGTGTCCGTTTCATGTATGTTTGTAAAGTCCCCCGCGACACAGGATACATTCCTAGTGCGGGAGCTGTCTTTTTATAAAGAAAAAGAAGAAAAATCTGTTTCTTTTTTCGCAGAAATCCGTGTGAGGAGTAATTTGATGCCCGTCAATACGGAACCCATCCCGGTGGACAGCGATGATGAGCCGGACTTGGGTGAGTAAGGGATAGTCCATTAATTACGTGAGGCTCGAAAGGGGAGGGGAAGTGTTCGGCAAGAAAAACACGAAATGTCACAAGGAGGGAAGAGGGGACATCCTTAATGAGATATCACGTGTATTTTGACTGCACGGATGGCGTAGTGGTTTAAGCGGTCGCCACGCCACTTACTACTACGCTGAGTGTTGTGGGTCCGATCCCCACATGGGACGACACTTTGTGTGATCCACAAATTGTTGTTCTGAGTCTAAGTGTTGTTTGTGTCCGTTTCATGTATGTTTCTAAAGACCCCGCGATCCAGGAATACTCCTAAAATGCCCAATACGGGAGCTGCAGTACAAAAAAAAAATTTTTTTTTCATTTGAACGCACGATTTCATTTTTCATTCATTTCATTTCTATGTAGAAATAAATGTTTTTTTTTTGTTTTTGTGCCAGTCAAAAGCAACCAGCAACTTTAATGTGTCTGTACATTCTTATGCTTAATTTTCCAAAATTTAATCAGATTATACCCGTATTCAAACATAATATCCTGAAAAATTTTAATGCACTTTGTTCCAAAAAATACACGTGGGTTTCGGTAAGAGGGGAAGGGGTAGTCTAAAACCTCACCACGTAATTACCAGGGGGCGGGAGAGGGTTAAAAAGTTGTTAAAAAATATTGTCTTTTTAAGAAAGAATAGCCTTTAATAAATGAGCTATCTGACCCTAAAATATTGAAACCAGTTGTTCGTGAGATTCGCTCAATATGAACATCATTTTATAAAAAAAAATGGTGCATTCCACACTAATATTTTAAATTCAAAAGTCTGTTTAAGCGTTGAGAGACACACTTAAACCGCTGAACCGGTTTAGATGAATTTCGGGATAAAGATAGTTTGAGTTCTTTGAAAGGACACAGGATAGTTTTTATCCTATGTGCCTTTCTGGGATAAAAACTATCCTATATCCTTTCCCAAATTTCATCCAAATCGGTTTAGCGGTTTAAGTGTGAAGAGGTAACAAACATACAGACAGACAGAAACACTTTCGTATTTAGAATATTAGTATGGATTTTAAACGAAAATCTTTCAGGTTTTTGTTAATTAGAGTTTTGTTTGTCGGCAGGATCTCCGAGCCAAGCGTCAGATTCTCTCAGTTTCGACGAGAACCTCCGAGCGTTACGACACATTCATGAGAAATATGCTAATATTGATAAGGTAATACTAATATATTCTATTAATAACAATTCCGAAATTTGCCCACTGCTGGGCATCGATTTCCCACTTTGCCCACTGTTGGGCATCGGTTTCTTGCTTTGCCCACTTTCGAACTAATAATAATAGTGACTTGCACATCTCTCACGCGGCCGTCTGATCCCAAACTAGGCAGAGCCTGTGCTATGGTAACCAGACTGCTGATAAGTATACTTATATATTTCTAAATACATACATATAATAGATAAATTACACACAGACACAGTATAAATGATCATTCTCGATTATTTGTCCTGAGTGGGAATCGAACTCACGACCTACAGCTTAGCAATCAGGACCAACGTACCCGGTATATCATATTTTATTAGTAACTTGCTGCCCCGACAGTCTTCGTTCTGTAAAAAGTTATTGGCCTAAAAAAACCGTATTTCTGCAAGCAAACCTTTTCAGATATTTTTGCAAGTCGGACTTTATAGCTAGAAGGCGTCGACATTTCCTAAGACTCACTCACTCACATAAATTTCCAACCCCCATTTTACACCCTTATATGTGGAATTTTTAAAAATCCTTTCTTAGTCACCTGAGGAACATTTGTGCAAAATTTCATGCTTTTATAACCAGCGGGTTTAGCTGTAGTCAGTCTGTCAGTTTCTTAATTTATACAGCCTTGGCCAAAAGTATTAGGCACCCTACATTTTACTTAAAATAAAGAAAAAAAACAACTTATACTTTTTGAATTGATTTATTACCATTAAATTACACAAAAAAGAATGAAAAAACTTAAAATCTAGTCGGTCCACCTTTGGATTTAATTACTGCACTAATTCTAGCTGGCATGCTGCGTACAAGCTTAGTACAATCCTCCCTTGTAATGGCATGCCATTCTTGTCCTAACGCATTCTTTAATGCCGTTTTCGATGTGATACTATGCTCTTTAATCTTGCGCTTCAAAATGCTCAAAAATGTTCAATTGGGTTCAAATCTGGTGACTGCGCTGGCCAATCAAACAAGTCCAATGTTGTTTTCAGTAAACCAACGCATCGTAGTCGCTGACTTATGACAAGGTGCATTGTCTTGCTGGAATATAAATCCCTCTAAGTTGGTATCGCCGAAAATACTCGTTAGCGAAGGCATAAGCGCAGTTTTAAGCACTTTTATGTACTTTTCGCTGTTCATACGACCTTCGCAAACAAACGTTTCGCCAACCCCATCAGTAGCCATGCAGCCCCAGATCATTATGCTGCCTCCTCCATGCTTTACTGTCGGTACGACGCAATCTGGATGGTATTCTTCGCCCACACGTCGCCTCACGAAGGTCACACCTGGCGTTCCAAATATCTGTTAAAAAAAAACACTCTTTTAAACTGCCTTAACTTTTATTATTTTAGTTAAATAAATAACTGTCCATGATTATTAATAACAAAAGCAGTAAAATTAACTTACTTCAAAGTTTGATTCGTCAGACCATACCACATTGGCCCCATCTTCGTCAGTAAAATGTTGATGCCGTAGAGCCCATTCAAGTCGTTTTGCCATATACATTATTTCTTGCCATATACATTATTCTAGGAAATATTGTAAAAAAAATTTAGGGATGGGTCACCCTTGTCGTTTAGGGGTAAGAAAAATAAATGGCCGATTCTCAGACTTACCCGATATGCACACAAAATTTCATAAAAATCGGGCTGGACCGAGGTTCAGGAGTTTCGGAGGAGTATAGTAACCAACATTGTGACACGAGAATTTTATATATATAAGATATAGATAGATATAAAAATACTGAGTATATTACGTTGCCCACAGGACGATCTGTACGAAGCCCACTTGTTGGCGGCTAATTTTAAGAAGCCCACGCTTGACTCCCAGCGGAGGGAAGATGACGTCATGTCCGTCAGGAGCTCGGAAGGTAAATAAGATAATAAATTGTGTAAGTTACTAACCTAATATATATATATATTTTTGCTTTATACTAACATTATATTACAGTGGAGACTCTATTAACCGGTCTTTTCGTAATACATCCGGATAATCGGACATCCGGATAATTCGAAATCCGGCTAATATAGTGCTTTTATGATATAGGGAGAATTAGGGTGGTAACAAGTGGCCATGGTAAGTGACTACCGCCTCCCACTTGCTACTCTAGAGACTCAAATAAGTCTTCCAACCCAGAATCAGGGCGTTTGAGCTCTTAAAATGACCCGGTGACATAATTCCTTAACGCCGGTTTTCTGTAAGGCCTTGCTATTACTCCGGTATTGTATTTAAACGCGGTAGACTATCCGGATAATTGTCCGTATAACTGATGTCCGGATAATCGAGTCTCTATTGTATTTGAGAATGTATGACTTTTTGGATGGACGTTTAGTTTCGTAGTTTTTTTCTAATGGTTGATTGTACATTATATTAATACGTTCACGCTTAAACCCCTGAAGAGATAAATAGAAACGTATTAGGTAATACGTCGTAGGAGGAAAAGTAGGCCAAAACCCCCTTTCTAGGGAGAGGCCTATGTCCAGCAGTGGACTATTAAAGGCTGTTGATGTGAGGAGGAATACAGGTTAGATGAGAAAATTGCTGGTATATAGAAAATAAACATAGAACCTATTTGCTATTTTTAAATCATAATCATTTGATGAAATGATTGGGTTTAGTCACAGTGATTTCACATGCGATTGTTATTTCGTCATAGACAAAGTTTTTTTTTGAAAGGGCTTTGTCGCTCTGCAACCACATCTTTTCTTTTTTTTTTTTTTTTTTTTTTTTTAAAAGACAACTCCCGCAGTAGGAATACATTCCTGTGCCGCGGGGGACTTTACAAACATATATGAAACGGACACAAAGAACACCCAGACTCAGAACAACAAATTGTGGATCACACAAAGTGTAGTTCCATGTGGGGTTTGAACCCACAACACTCGGCGCAGTAGGAAGCGGCGTGGCGACCGCTTAAACCACTACGCCATCCGTGCACATCGCAAGTTAACATGTAATATAGACACAACTCTACTAATTTACATAACTTCCCGGCTTCAACCGACACAGGGTTGGCCAGAACACTATTACAAAGGCCGATATTCATACCCCACGAGACCCCTAAATGTTCCCTGTAAGTTCTGTTCCTTTCATAGACAAAGATAAATGCCATTAAAATTAATCAAAATTCTTTTTATCAATGATTACGCCTTTGTTTTAGATTTAAACCTTTCGCGAGTCTTGCGCCAGCGTAATATTAATAATAAATCGAAGGGGTTTTGTAAATTAGTCGCAGGTGCTACTATATGATTTGTAAATCATATGATTTATCATATGTGATTGGGATTTTATTCCATCCGTATAGAAAGCTAGGAAGGGAGGGATAAGGTAATGGTAGAATGCACTGATGGTGAAGTGGTTTAAGCGGTCACCTCGCCGCTTCCTACTGCGCTGAGTGTTGAGCTCTTCGAAATGTCTGTGAGCCTTTTTTTTTTTTTGGCCGTGTGGAAATCCCCTCGGATACCACCTATCGGTTACGAACCGACTAAAACCGCACGCCGTCTTGGGTACTAATAGCCGGGGAACCAGGTATACCCTAGAAAGGAAGTCCCTGGTGCCCCGACATACCTCGGGCCATCTACAGACGAGTAGACGACCCCCCCCCCCCCCCCCCCTGTGTGGGAACCCCGTGTTCCCTCTGCTCCCTGGAAGCGAGCGCGCTTCGCAACGCGCTCGCCGCCACCCCGGCCTGCTTCTGCTAGGGTAACAGATGGCCTCACCTGTCACCCCCAGGCCTGCGCTTATGGAGGCGCCTGAGTCGCCTGCTGTACCTGGCCCGTTCCCGGGCCTGGCGGGCCGGGAGAGTTCTAAAACTCTCCCGGTCCCGCTCCGCCATCTCCTTCGCGAGCATAACTTGCTCGCAGAAGGAGACGGCAGAGTTCCACGCACTCTCGCTCCGCACGATAGCCGCAATCAGGCTATCGATCGAGAGAACTCCCACTCCGATAACAGTCCAACCACACTTCTGCCACTGCCTTTTTAACTAACTTCAAGCGATTGCACGCTTAAACCACTACACCAGTGGTTTAAGCGGTCACCTCGCCGCTTCCTACTGTGCTGAGTGTTGTGGGTTCGATCCCCACATGGGACATCACTTTGTGTGATCCACAAATTGTTGTTCTGAGTCTTCTTTGGTTTTAGGTGTATTTAAAGCCCCCCGCGACACATGATATATTGGACAATAGTTGTCTAGTTACTAGTAGGGTATATATCTTAGGATTGCCTTAGACAGATGGCTCGTGCAGTGTTAGAAATAACTGGAGCAGCTCAGGGTTCTCTGCTGTGACAAAGTCCGTGTGATGACGAATTAGGAATACGGAGTGTCACCACCACTATCCATCCAATGGGTGTCGTAATAGCCGACTAAGGGAGCAAACTACACAAGACAACGGCACTGCAAACAGAAGGAAAACTGGCAACAAACCCTGTACAATCCCGTCTGGCCAGCGTGGTATAGGTCGAAGTCTCCTTTCTAAGGAGAGGCTTGTGTCCAATTAAGCTAAATAATTGTCAACTTAAATATTAAGATTTGTGTAATTTGTGGAGATAAAATAAATAAATTAAAAAAAAAAATAAGATGTGGACTGTTAAAAGCTGTTGATGGAACACAATTTTTGGCAGTGTAATATTTGACCTTGGCTCCGACCAGGTATAAATGTTCTTTCAAACATTGCTGTTTATAGGTGGAGCTTCCGTGAAAGACGTCGAAACCCGAGTTGAGAAGTTAGAAGACAGTTCTAATTCTGACTCTGATAGCAGTAGCTCCGGTTCTGGTAAGTGTGGATACCTTAAGTTCTGGACTGGCACTGAGACACTGGGAAATTGTCTTTTGGGGGGGGGACTAGGGGGGTGAAATCGTGTATCTATACTAATATTATAAAGCTGAAGAGTTTGTTTGTTTGAACGCGATAATCTCAGGAACTACTGGTCCGATTTGAAAAAATCTCTCAGTGTTAGATAGCCCATTTATCGAGGAAGGCTATAGGCTATATACCATCACGCTAAGACCAATAGGAGCGGAGCACCAATAAATAATGTTTCAAAAACGGAGAAAATTTATTACTATTGAGAGACGCAGACGAAGTTGCGCGGGTCAGCTAGTGGATAATAAATAGCCGCTGAATTGATTTTAATGGAATTTGGCATGGAGAGACTTAGATTCTTGAGGAAGGACGCTTAAGCTACTTTCTACCGCGATAACCAACATACACGCGGGCGGAGACGCAAGCAAAAGCTAGTTTACTATAAAGTTCAAATTTATGTAAAACGGCTATGTGACACTGTAGGTGCCAGTTTATAGATTGACCATTCGACGGGCCTGTTGGTCGAATGGTTAGTGCCCCTGACTGCTAAGCCGGAGGTCGTGGGTTCGATTCCCACCCAGGATAAATATTGTGTGATGAGCATGATCATTTGTTCTGTGTCTGGGTGTAATTTATCTATAATATGTGTGTATTTAGAAATATATAAGTATGTTTATCAGCAGTCTGGTTACCGTAGTACAGGCTCTGCCTAGTTTGGGATCAGACGGCTGTGTGTGAAATGTGTGAGGTATATATACCTTGTCGCGGTACAAAAGTCCATATAATGGCAGTTCAGGGTATACTGGTCAATGAAAAAAAAACCAGACATTCAAAATTGTCTAATTTCGAGTAGCGTGATTATTCTTTATTTCGTGTTTTTATATTTGAAAATGACTTGACTGAACTTCTAAACAACCGTTTATCCCTTATTTTACCCCTTTAGGGGTAAAATTTCCAAAAATCCTTTCTTAGTGGGTGCGTATAATATAAAATTCACCAGCTGACAAAATTTCAAGTTTGTAGCCCCAGGTCGCTGATGAATTCGTCAGTTCAAGTAATTTAAATGTACTGCCATCAAGTTCATTAACAGCTAGACAACATTCTAACCAAAACTTCTGCTCTCTTTCATCCACAGGCAGCTCATCCTCATCGTCAGGGAGCTCATCATCAGATAGCTCTTCATCGTCAGACAGTTCTGACAGCGAGTCCGAGTCGGGAGACGACACACCAAAACAAAAGACTGAACAAGAAGAGAAGACGACGCCCCTCCACAATAATACTTCTCACGAGGACGGTGACAGGTAAGATAAAAAGAAAACCCCTCTCCCTTATCTCTAGAGATAATTTGTAATGTTTATATAATGAGTTATTCTAACTATTTTCATGTAATTATCATAAACTCAAACTCTCTTTATTTCATAAAAAAATTAAAATTGTTTGAACTCGTCTTTCATGTAGACTCTAAAGTCATAGATCAACACACACAAAACCAACAATCTCTGTTTTGTCAAATAGTAAGCAAATAAATTTAACAAAAATCTAACCCATACAAAATCTATGATATGCCTGTGCCGACCCGCCCCGCCCGTTTCCAAGGGGTTGTGAGCCTTATGAGAAGAAAGGGCAAACAAACTCATGGCCAATCTTTTGCAATTCACAGATAGATACAATAGCACTATTAAATATACCACAACATTGTTTTGATGTGTGCCAGTATGTCCATATTAAGGACTAAAAAGTACAAAGAAAATGAAGAGAAAACAAGATTAAGAAAAAAAACGAATAAAAGAAAAAATGAAGTGAAACATAAAAAAATAGAAAAACATTTTTAGAACTTTGATAAAAGTTATTAAATTCTTCTCAAAGAATTGTTACGACTGCAATAACTAAACGTTCAAGTGTTGTTAACAGAACGCATCCCTACCTTTTTCTAATCTTGCCATACATAAAATATAAATTAAGTGAAAAACGAATATGTTTAAACAAACATTTCTTTATTAATAATGTTGACTGCACAGATAAGGAGAATAAAATAATGATTATATTATATTAAATCAAGTAATTTAGGGAAAATAATAATATTGTACCACATTCACACAACGCCATCTAGTCCCAAACTAAGCAGAGCTTGTACTTTGGGTACTAGACAACTGATATAAATACACATATACTTTTTTTGTTGTAAATACATACATATTATACATAGAAACACCCAGACCAAATCAAACATTTAAAGTTCATTCACACAAATGTTTGACTTGAGCGGAAATCGAACCCCGGCCGGCTCCGGTCCTCCGGCTTTTAAGGAAAGGTACTAATTACGTTTATTCAAATCGATTAGATAAATCGTGAACATTATGTAAAAAAAGTAATTAAATTGATTTGACCTGGCAACATTTTATCAATGAATCTTTTATTGGTATTGGTATTGGTTGTGGGCTTCGGTTTCCACATTTAGACTCAAGAGTGGTCCTTTATGCGTCGAGGATTGGTTAGCTAAGTGAGCCAACCGAGCTCCTTCCAGAAGCGCAGAAGCCTCCTGGGGCGTTCACAGGCTTCTAGGAGCGATCTTGTCTCAGGAATGATACTTGCCCGTTGTGCGGCTACTCCCTCGCATTCCAGGACTACGTGGGCGGCCGTTTCCTCTGCTACCAGACATCCCCTGCACAGAGGTCTGTCCGTCGCATTGATGATGAATAGGTGTCGGTTCAGGGCTAAGTGTCCTGTTAGAGTACTGACAACTATTCGGATTTCCTGTCTGCTAAGACTAATCAATCTGCAGGTGAGCCGTGGTGTGACTTGAGTCATCACCAGTTTGGACTGTCTGCAGCCGGGTGAGTTTTTCCAACTCCGGTTGTGTGCTTCACGGGTCCGTTGCCTGGTCCAGAATCGTGTTTGTTTTTTTTTGTTTTTTTAAAAGACAACGCTCGCATTAGGAATACATATTCCTGTGTCGCGGGGGACTTTACAAACATACATGAAACGGACACAAAGAACACCCAGACTCAGAACAACAATTTGTGGATCACACAAAGTGTTGTCCCATGTGGGGTTTGAACCCACAACACTCGGCGTAGTAGGAAGCGGCGTGGCGACCACTTAAACCACTACGACATCCGTGCAGTCAGTTTGGTTAAACGGTATTGGCAGGAGTATGGTTGGGCCGGTAGCTGGGGTTGCCGAGCCCCTCCTTGCCAACTCATCTGCGGCATCGTTCCCGTGTGAGTTACTGTACCTTTTAATCCATTGGAAGAGTACCACATTTAATGTGGCAAGCTGCTCCAATGCTTGATGGCATTTGAGTATAATACCAGAGGTCATTGTGTTGCCCTCCAGTGCCTTTAGGACAGCCATGCTGTCGGATAGTATTCGGATGTTATAGTCCTTGATACCGCTTGGCATGGCCTTTGTGGCAGCGTAAGTTATTGCCACACATTCGCATTGGAATATGGAACTGTGTTGGCCTAACGCTAGTGATATGTTCATATTTAGGTCTTGCGAGAAAACTCCGGCTCCAGTTCCTGACCTAGTCTTGGAACCGTCCGTGTAAATTCGGACTTCATTAATGCCGGATTGATCTCGGTCATTTTCTCGCATCTGGATGTGGTATCTTTTTGTGAAGATGTGGTGTTTTGGGATTCTATCTCATGGGGCTGCTATTAGTGGTTCGTATTCCACAAATTGATCCCATAGTTTGGAGTGCGATCCCTCACTCTTATGCCATAGGCCCAGGTGTCTGAGTCTAATTATCGCCATAGCGGCCTCCTGCTGTATGAATAAATCCAGTGGCGGCAGACCCAGAGCCACCTCCAGTGCGGTGGGTTATTGATGAATCAAGAAAATCGTAGGTTAATTGTTGACATCAATGACAACTCATTTGTGACAGCCAACTGTTAGTGGTATCGACTTTAGTACAGCCTTTAGGCAGACTAAAATAACTTTTGAACGCAAAGTTCTAAAAATCTGGGAATTATAACTGTTGTTGGTGACATTACCAGCCAAAAAAATACAACAATAATTCCATCCATGAATTACGCTTGGGGGTACAAAACACATAATATATATCACACATCTCACACACGTCTGATCCCAAACTAGGCAGAGCCTGTACTATGGTAATCAGACTGCTGATAAACATACTTATATATATATTTTTTTAAATACATACATATTATAGTTAAATTACACCCAGACACAGAACAAATGACCGTGCTCATCATACAATATTTGTCCTGGGTGGGAATCGAACCCGTGACAGGCGTCAGGGTCACTAACAACTAGACCAACAGGCCCGTCAATTCAACAAAAGTCCCACACATGCCTGCCATTGTCCTTTCAGTACCATCTTGTACTGCAATTCATAGTTTTTCATTTTTCCAGATCATTCGGCGCCTGGTCATACTCCGGTGCAGCTTCGGATTCCGATTCGGACCCTGAACGTCTGGCGGAACCCGGCGCCCCCAACTCTCATGATGAGATCAGCGAGTCCGAAAACGAGTCTGCAGACAAGAGCTTTCAGTGTCACATCTGCAGGAAGTGGTACTCCACGAGGGTCACACTCAAGTAAGTTTTCCTCTGAGTCTTCTTCCCAAATTTGGTTGGGGTCGGCTTAACTGAACTTCGATTTTTACACGGAGCGACTGCCATCAGAGCTGCAAAACCCAAGTACTAGGCGATGTTGAGGTTTGAGGAGGGGGGGGGGGGGGAGAGGAGGAGTTAAAGGGACATTCAAAGAAACCAACACGCTTGTCTCTGTTGAGCTGCAGGTGTCCTTGGGTGGCGGTAGTCACGAGGTATGCAATATCCTAGCTTTCTCCAACTATCCATATTCCTTACCCAAATATACAGGGTTAATGGTTAACTTCTATCCCTGTTCTGTTCTCTTGAAAATGTTGTTTACCGAAGCCTCAAATCAACACCCTAGGTATTGGAGGGGCCTAATACCTGGGGGGGAGTAAACACTTATGCTTCTTGAGTGGCGGTGACCATAAGCGGCGGTAGTAACTTACCATCAAGTGTGCCGTCTGCTCGCCCCTATACCATATAAAAAAACTTATTTATCAATGTTTCTCTCCCCAGAATTCACCGTCGAATTCACCAAAACCGCGGCGCCGGGACCTCTCGGTCGAGAGCCCGCTCCTCGGACAGATACGAGTGCGATTGTTGTAGTGAGACTTTCAACCGACGCGAGAAACTACGGGAACACAAGTTAGTATACGTATTCATGTCTATCCCCGAAGGGGTATGGGACTAATCCCTACCACAGGCCGTCTACTGTAAACTCAAACTCAAACTCAAACTCAAACTTTCTTTATTTCATAAAATTTCCAAAATTGTTTGAAATCGTCTTCCATGTAGACTCTAAAGTCATAGATCAACACACACAAAAGCAACAATCTCTGTTTTGTCAAATAGTAACCAAATAAATTTAACAAAAGTCAAACCACCGGTTGTCAATACAACCGCCCGTTTCCAAGGGGTTGAGCCTTATGAGAAGAAAGGGCAAACAAACTCATGGCCACTCTTTTGCAATTCACAGATAGATACAATAGCACTATTAAATATATGTTGTTTTGATGTGTGCTAGTATGCCCGTTATTAAGGACTTAAAGGTGAAAAAACAACGAAGAGAAAACAAGATTAAGAAGAAAAAACGAATACAAGAGAAAATGAAGTGAAACATAAAAAATAGAATAAAAATAAATAATAAAAAACATACTAGCCACACCACATTTTTACTTAAGAAAGAAATAGCCTGCGCTAATTAATCCCAAGCATTCTTGTCCTCCATGTAATCCACAATCGAGTAGTAGGCCCTCTGGCACAAGCCACGTTTTATTGCGGATTTAAATTTGTTAATACTCAACTCCTGAATATTAAATTGTAACTTCTGTACATCAGGATCAACAGCAGTGACCCACACGGTTATTAGTTATGACACTCAGGAAGTCCCAGGCTACAATCAAACTGTCTCAGAAACCGCAACGAAATAATCATAAGAAGATTGAAGGAATATACAAGGTGTAAGGGAACCGTCCATTACACCCTGTATATTCCTCCAATTCTTAATTAGTGTATTCAGATCATCATTCTGGGTCGAACATCTTTTTAATTTTGTGTCGGAAAATTCTTATGCGATCAGCTGTCAAACGTTAAGGTGATCCCGTAGGTATCGCACAAAAGTAGCAACTACATTTGTATAGTCACCGTGACGATCGAGTAGATGTGAAATAAACTCACACTTGGACCTCTGAACTGCATTTTGAACGAATTTTGATTACGAGAATTAATAATAATAATATTCTACCCCATTCACACAACGCCATCTAGTCCCAAACTAAGCAGAGCTTGTACTATGGGTACTAGACAACTGATATAAATACATATATACTTTTTTTTTGTAAATACATACATATTATACATAGAAACACCCAGACCAAATCAAACATCAAATGTTCATGCACACAAATGTTTGACTTGAGCGGGAATCGAACCCACGACCTTTGGAATAGCAGTCCGTTACACAAACCACTACACCATCCGGTCAATTGAGTTTCAGAAGTTTTGTTTGTATATTTGTCTCCTTTTTACCTATTTAATGTTGTGTGTGTGTGTCAGGGCGGCGGCTCACCGCGGCGCGATGACGGTGCGGTGCGAGGTGTGCCGCAAGTGCTTCGAGGACGACGCCGAGCTCGCCGCGCACGACACCACGCACACGCCCGACGAGAGAGCCGGTACTCACTCTCTATAACTCGCTTTCGTTTTGATATGGAGATACAGGTAAATTAGCTTGAAGAAATTTTTGCGTTTGTAGTAGTGTATGGTCAAACTGGTTTATTCTGGTTTTGTGCGTGTTTCCACTTTCCACTATCAAGTGACGATTTTTTGCTTTAGATTGAAATATCTCGCAAACGGTGCGTCCTAGGCCAAAAATATCAAAAATTTTGACCCCCCCGTACACCCCCCGGAGTTTTAAAAACCTAGATGAAAGGGAAAAAAAAAATTTAAATATCGGTCTCTCCTCTTTGAAGTTTCACTTCTATCGTGTGTGAATCGCACACACACCTTTTTTTTTAAATAAAAACTTGTTTTTATTGAAAACAAAAATCAGAGTGTTGCTAGGGATAAGTATAAAATTAAATAGTAATGTTAGGATATCGAAACATTTTTGTATAGGCCAGAACGATATAGTGGAAACGCGCTCTAAGATCTGAGTAATATACACACCACTACATATGCAAAAATTTCTCGAGACTAATTTCACTGTACGACTGTGAATACAGTGCCTTATTAATAGTTGGCTCTATTCAAGACATTTAACTTTCCGCCATCGTTCGTATTTACGATGGCGGAAAGTTAAGGTCGGTATTCACATCAACATCTTTTAATAGTCCACTGCTGGACATAGGCCTTTCCTTAGAAAGGAGGTTTTGGCCTACTATACCACGCTGGCCAGACGGGTCGGTATAGGAATTGTATCAAGTTTTCCTTCTCTTTGCAGTGCTAGTGTCCTGCGTTGTTTTGCGCTCTTAGTCGGCTCTTACGACACCCACGTAATGAATTGGGGTAGTGACATTCCGTATTCTTAATCCGTCACTACACGGACAATTCTTTGGAATTGTTCGGACTAATACCAACCTTAACTTTGGTGTCTTGAAAAGCTCACATTGATTTCACTGTGAGCTTTCCGCCATCATTGAAACCTTCATCGTAAATCACTGTGAGCTTTCAAGATACTTCGAGATTCGGGTAACCAATCTGTAGAACAAGTTATCTTCTGCGGTATTTCCGGACCGATACAACCTTCAAACTTTTAAGAAAAGAGCGTACTTCTTCCTAAAAAGTCAGTAACGGGTTTGTGACTCCTGAGTTTTAGGCGTTCATGGGCGGAGATAGTCACTTTTCATTAGGTGACGCGTCTGCCTCCTCTTACATAAAAAAAGCGCATATTTTATTCTGAACTCAAGAGGAAACAAAGTGGACAGACAGTTCTTCAAATATAAAGAGACTACTCCTCACGCTGGGAGAATTTAGCTAGGAATAGACCTGAATGGAGGCGGTTCACATCACATTACATCAACAGCCTGCAATAGTCCACTGCTGAACATAATTCTCTCCTTAGACAGTAGGTTGTGGCTTCCTATACCACGCTGGCCAGACGGGTTGGTATAGGTTTTGTGTCAAGTTTTCCTTCTCTTTGCAGTGCTGTTGTCCTGCGTAGTTTGCTCCCTTAGTCGGCTCTTACGACAAGGATGAATAAGGCTGGTGACACTTCGTATTCTTAAACCGTCACCACGCGGATAGTGAACAAATTTTTTACAGTTTTAAAGATCAAAGAAAATGTGATTTTGATATTAAATCAGACAATCTTAAAACGAAACTAATTCCTTATGATTAATTATAATTACTTTGATGGTGTGCCAACTTGTCCCTACTGTGTATGTATTGGAACGAAGTTCCTTATCGCGCGTTGTGAAAGGGGGCTAGACGGAAAAAAATCGTACGAAAATTTGTAACGACACTTTTTATTTTGAGTTGTCACTTGTCAGTCATTCTATCGAATAGATAGGAAATCATTACTTTTCATCTTAGTAAAATTAAAATTTATGTTCTTAGGTTGAGCAAAAAATATTGTATACGACATCATTTCTCAAGGAGATTTTACCAATGTATAAATTGTTTTAATTAGAAACCAACTGAAAAATATGTAGGTAATAGCCGCTTTCATAGATGGCGTTGTAATTAAAATCGTGTCGAATCAGTTTTACTTGATCGTCACAACTTCGTTCCTATCGGGTGTCCCACGACACCACACGGCTTTTTTTTTTCAGTGTTAAAATAGGGTATGTAAGCTATATCAAAAGGCTAATTTTCGTAATAGAAGTTCGGTTACAATACAGTTCTGATCTCATAACTATCATAAAAGGTATTTTTGTTGTAAAGTACCACTAAGACTAGCAGATTATTGATTTAATTTTCGGTTACAATATGTACGGTATAATTACATGACAGTCAACGTTGGACGTTTAATACTTTATTACGAAAATACCTTTGAGATCGAAAGTCGATCGGAATTGAATTTTGATCGAACTTTTATTACGAGAATTGGCGTTTTGGGCACACGCACGAGGCTTAGATCTCCAAACAAGTGACTGTAGCCGAAGTTGGCATGGGATAGGCAAGGACGATGAACGCTAAGGTACGGTGTAGTCACATCATCATCATATCAACAGCCTTTAATAGTCCACTGCTGGACATAGGCCTTTCCTTAGAAAGGAGGTTTTGGCCTACTATACCACGCTGGCCAGACGGTTTGGTATAGGAATTGTATCAAGTTTTCCTTCTTTTTGCAGTGCTAGTGTCCTGCGTTGTTTTGCGCCCTTAGTCGGCTCTTACGACACCCACGGGATGAATTGGGGTAGTGAAATTCCGTATTCTTAATCCGTCACTACACGGACAGTACACACGATATATTTCCAAATCGTCTTTCTTGACATTTTGACACATTTTTATTTAATATGTTTATTGACAAATGTAATAAATTAATTGACAATTATTGTATTCAATTTTTGCATGCCGTTAAGGTAGTCCAAAGAGGACACGTATCAATAAAAATGTAACCTTCGATCATCAAATAAAGAATGAACGTGTTAGGTCGGTGTCGGCTGTGCGGCGCGGTGTTCGGTCGCTGGGAGCAGCTGCGGCGCCACGCGGCGTGTGCGCACGGCGCGGCGCCGGCGCCGGGCGGCGCGCGCCTGCCCTACGCGTGCGCGCAGTGCGGCAAGCGCTTCGGACACGCGCACTCGCTCACGCGCCACATGCACAACCACGCCAAGCAGCTCTACCGCTGCGTCGTCTGCAAGGTACTCTCTCTCTCTCTCTCTCTCTCTATCCGTTTGTGAGATCCCCGCGTCGCACCGTACGTTTCCAAATTGTCTTTCTTGAAGCAAAAAAATATTGAATTCGTGGCTCCATTAATATAACAATAATGATATCTCTCCTAAGTGAAAAATTGATTTTGCCGATGTGAACTTTTATAATGCCTTCGATTGAGTCGATCATACTTTGCTTATAAAAGACTTAAAACGCAAAATTTAAATAACTTTGTTTTATCCTTATAATCACGATATTATTATTATCGAATATCATGATATATGATACGATGATATACGATGATATAAAAATATGTTTTAAGTTAAATAATACGATTTAATTATTTTTTTCACCGGGTGTCTCACAGGGATCTATTCTGGGACCACTTTTTGAGGTCTTCAATGATGCCACGACCCATCAAACATTAATATTTAATTCGTATGGCTATAAAGTTTACTCACTATTAAATGTATAATTACATTCCACTAATAACACCCCAGTCGTGAATCTCTTTCTTGAATAATGACGGTGGGAAACATGCTGCCTCGTTGGTGCGGTGGTAGCGGCTGTTCTAAGATCTCAGGTTCGATTCCTGGGTCGGACCAAGTGTTTCGGAGTTTGAGTGTTTTCCATGTATATTATGTATTTACAAAAAAAAGTATATAAGTATTCTATCAGTCAATCTAGCTTTGATATTATAAGCTACTAAGTTTGAAACTAGATGGCGTTGTGTCAGATGTCCGAAAATATTATAAAATATTATTGTTGAAAATCTGGATACCCGAGAGAGACAAGAAATCGTCATAATGTAAAAGTAATGTCGGTTTTGAAAAAAATTCGTAATTCAGTTTTAACCATATTTGGATACTATTTGCTAAATATTTTTAGTACATAAAAAAATGTATTTTAGATTTTATATTATTCAGTCTTTGTTTGATAGACGCCTAAAGTAAAATGAAGCATGTGATTTTTCTGGATTTTTTAAATTATTAGTTGTTATTTCATTGCATATTAAAAACAAACCCTATTATTCACTAGTATGCCAATTTTCGTAATTACAGATTTAGAATTTAAACAAATTATGTCAAAAAGCTAACATGATTATTTGAAATGGCTGCCATTTAAAGTTCAATAAATGTCAGATCCGACACTATTCTACTGCCGATTTCTGATCACATCCACAGCCTTTAATAGTCCACTGCTGGACATAGGCCTCTCCTCTGAAAGGAGGTTTTGGCCTACTATACCACGCTGGCCAGACGGGTTGGTATAGGGTTTGTGTCAAGTTTTCCTTCTCTCTGCAGTGCTGTTGTCCTGCGTAGTTTGTTCTCTTAGTCGGCTCTTACGACACCCACGGGATGAATAGGGGTGGTGACACTCTGTATTCTGAATCCGTCACCACACGGGATTTCTGATCGATGGGCATCTATTGCGTCACTATTTTCTTAACGCGAATGAACTAATCATACCCGTGTTCCAGAGCCAATAGTAAACAGTCTGTAGTAAGTACTTATTTAATTATTTCTCGTGTAACTCCAGGCTTCTTTCGCCCGAGCGGACCAATTGGCACAGCATCTCAACAGCCACCTCGCCAACTACAAACGTCTGAAGCCATAGGCAAGAGTAGCAGAAAGAGAAGAGAGGAGACAGAGATACAACGGGAGTGTGCAAGGATTTTAATGTACCGATACACACAATTATTATTATATTATATTAATATAGAGTTTTATTTATCTGATGTATTTTATTTTATGAAAACTGCCACAGTTTTTTTTTTAACCGTGAAGCGAGCTTTACAGCCAGAGCCTTATATTGTGTAACCTGTGACATGTCAGCTACTATCGTCATGATCAAATCAATAGCGGGCTGCCCGATTTCCAGTTACATTAGTATATCCTTTACACGAAATTACTCCCACAGATCGCAGACATATAAAATAAAAACCGGTCCAGTACGAGTCGAACTCGTGCGCCGAGGGTTCCGTTCCTATCCAGATTTTACGTAGATTTTCGCGAAAATTTGTAAGTACCAAAATTTTTCTTAATTTTTAACTTTTTTTTATTTTTTGGAATTATTCCTTTATTTGTGCTGTAAGACGTTTGTTTTTGCCAAATTTCGTGATTCTAGGTCAACGGGAACTGCCATATAGGTTTTAGACCCAAAACCTATAGGGTACTTCCGGTTGACCTAGAATTGTCAATTTTGGTTAAAAGCAAGGTCTTACACCACAAGTAAAGAGAAAATTATGAAAAATAAAAAAGTTGAAAATTAAGGTAAATTTTGTAGTTACAAGTTTTCGTGAAAATCGAAATTTGCCCATATCATGATTTTTATACACCTAATAGGGACCATAGACCTCAGAATCTGGCAGAAATCCGTGGTGACTTATGGACAGACGGACAAGAAAGTGATCTTATAAGGGTTCCTTTTTTACCTGTTGAGGTACGGAACCCCATAAAATTAAACAATTTAATCAGAAAACCACATAATATGTAATAGTTTTTAGTAGAGCCCAGAATCAGTGCGATTTGGTCGAAACATTGGGTCTCTAAATAAGTTTAATTACCACAAAATCACATAAAACATATAAATGGGAGAGCCATGCTTCGGCATAAATAAGCCGATTCGACCACAGTGATTTCACGGCCTTACAGAAATCCGGTGTTGTGTATCTTTCCCTGCTTTTCAGGGAGTAAATGAGGTTGCCTGCACAAACCCTACCTCCCCTCCATTTTTCACTTCTGTATATTAAATATTATTTCAACAAAAAATATAGAGATTGATAAAACTTGAAACAGGAAAATATGCAATAGCGCCATCTAACGAAAATATGCTGAACTACGTGGTATTAATAAGAATACTTATGGAGACTAATTTAGGTTGGAGGAATATTACCAGGTATTCTCCGTGCTATTGCAGTCTAGGTTAAGTAAATAAAAATAGCTAAGAATTTGACTTTATAAGGTAGTTTAACATAATTAAAGAATCGGTGGCTAAAGATAGTTGCTTTACTTGAAGCACAGATGGCGTTGTACTCCATTGAAAACGGTCGGGTCTGAAGACATTTCCACATGAAATTGAGTTTTGTCAAGACATAGTTTACTGTCATCAAATCTTACATCAACAGCCTCTAATAGTCAAATGCTGTACATAGGCCTCTCCTTAGAAAGGAGGTGTCTTTGCAGTGCTGTTGTCCTTCGTAGTTTGCTCCTTTAGTCGGCTCTTACGACATCCACGGAATGAATATTGGTGGTGACACTGTATTCTTAATCCGTCATCACACGGATAAATTAGCAATAGTAATCTTCGGTAAATTGGAAAAGGAACTAGAAAATGTCAGCCTTTAAAAGTTTAATATGCTACAGCGCCACCTAGCGATAAAATTAAGTTGTTGTGGATGACATTTGTCATACAGACTAATTAATTCTGGAGGAGTGTTACACCCCTCACAGTATATTGACAGCGTCCAGGTACTCCGTGTTGCGGAGCGGGACCGGGGCGGAGCGGGACCGGGAGAGGTTTAGAACTCTCCCGGCCCGCCAGGCCCGGGCACGGGCCAGGCAGCGCAGGCGACTCAGGCGCCGGAGGTCGCAGAACGACCTCCGTCCTCCATAAGCGCAGGCCTGGGGGTGACAGGTGAGGCCATCTGTCACCCTAGCAGAAGCAGGCCGAGGTGGCGGCGAGCGCGTTGTGAAGCGCGCTCGCTTCCAGGGAGCACAGGGAACATGGGGTTCCCACACGGGGCGGGGGTAGTCTACTCGTCTGTAGATGACCCGAGGTATGTCGGGGCACCAGGGCCTTCCTTTCTAGGGTATACCTGGTTCCCCGGCTATTAGTACCCGGCGAAGGCGTGCGGTTTTAGTCGGTTCGAGTCCGACATGCCACCGACAGGTGGTATCCGAGGGGATCTCCGCACGAAAAAAAAAAAAAAAAAAAAAACAAAAAAGGTACTCCGTGTTATTAGAGCTTATAATAAGTAAATTAGACCAGCTTACAATTTTACCAAGGCTTCTGACTTCAAAAGATGGAGCCGAGCGCGGTCACCGTGACGAGCGAGTAGAAGTAAAATATACTCGCACTTGGCCGCAGTTGAACTTCGTCTGCGCCTCTCAATAGTTTTAAATTTTCTCCGTTTTTGAAACATTCTTCATTGGCGCTGCCGCTCCTATTAGCCTTAGCGTGATGATATATAGCCTATAGCCTTCCTCGATAAATGGGCTATCTAACACTGAAAGAATTTTTCAATTCGGACCAGTAGTTCCTGAGATTAGCGCGTTCAAACAAACAAACAATCAAACTCTTCAGCTTTATAATATTAGTATAGATTAGTAATTTAATTTTTCAATTTAAAAGGTTACTACCGTTCCAAATTTGAAGATGAAATACCAACCTAAATGGTGGATAATTAAGTAAAAAGGAATGCAGTTTAATGTGCCTCTGCTTAACCCTTTCGGGGATGGTGACGAGTTAAGAATACGGCGTGTTACCACCCCTATACATCCTGTGGGTGTCGTAAGACCCAACTAAGGAAGCAAACTACGCAGGACAAAGCACTACTATAGAAAGAAAACTTGAATTAAACCCTATACCAAACCCGTCTGGCCAGCGTGTCATAACCAAAACCTTTCTATAGTTAAACCGCCATAAGCTTGGCCCTCTTGATGGTTTGCGGGACGCGGGGCGGGTGATGCGCTCGGCTATACATGACACAATGTACTAACTCGATATCTGCCGATTTATTTGTTTGAGATTTAATCTACACACGATGTAATAAAAATCGAATTTATTTTAATGTATTATAATGTCAGTGTATTGTAAGTTTTTATGATTAATTATAAAATTTAATACTGTAAAATAATTTTAATAAAATCACCTTATCTTCATCATGTAAATTATATTCAGATACAATTTAAAAATTAAGTAAAATAATAAATATTATTTATTAGAACTTTAATAGTAGAACCTCTGTAAGCCGAACTTCAAGTTTTTAAATCTTTTTGTGACGCAGAGTCGGCAGATTATCCATGTTGCAAAATAATACCGTGTGTAGCAGTCTTAAGAAAAATAACACATACAGCCATGCTTTCACGTCAGTCACTGCCGGCGGACAGCGACGCACTAGGTAATTGGTTGAATGCACCCCCGCCCCGCGTCCCCCAAACCATCAGGAGGGCCAAGCTTACGGCGGTTTAACTATAAGAAGAGGCCTATGTCCAGCCAGTGGACTACAAAAGGCTGTTGATGATGATTATAATGATGAAGGGTGCAGTCTAGGAGAATAAATAAAACACAATATATGTTACTGTTATTTAATATATCCCGCATCATACAATAGTTAGTCTAGGTCATATGTAGGTCATTGTAAGTCTACAGATAGGTACACAGTATATTCGTCTTATTATTAATTTTATAATATCTCCACTCGGTATTATACATACACAATGAAAAAAACCAACAGATCTCTTTTGTAATCTGTGGAAATGACTTTCTCACATACCTCTCACACTGACAGCTGTCAAATTTGACATCTGTCACATTGAGCCTTTCAACTTTTGACGTTGACAACATAAACACACGTAATATTAACGGTATGGTTAGTAAAATAGTGGTCATTGGAAAGTCAACTTTATATCTGTACATATAAAATCAATTAAATAAAATCTTTTTTTATGTACATTGGGTTAATATACGAAACCGATGACCGAATCCTACAGGACTAGTATTGATAGGTAGCTGATTTTATGAAGCTTAACTTCGGCTTGGTTTATTTGACAGGTATTTAGGTATATTACTATCTTGTTTGTTATTATCAACACTTGAAATTAGCACATAGACTACTGAAATTGTAAAAACGATTAAGTATTTAGGTACTTAGGTACGTAATTCCCGCGAGTATGCTAACACCTGGAGCTATGCTGTATTAGGAGTAGTGATGTGCCGGATCGTTAACAAAGTATATCCGCGGATACGGATCCGAATACGGATATTTGGTGTCAAGATCCGTATCCGCGGATGGCCAGAAAAAAAGTTGCTGTTTATAGTGTTACAAACACATACCTAAGAGTTTTACAGTGAATACAAAATCATCTATATAGAATTTCATCTTTGTATTGAAAGATCCGCCAAAAAAGTCACGGATACGGATACGGTTACGGATCTCTCTTCTCCCTTGGATATCCACGGATACGGATACGGATATCCGGCACATCACTAATTAGGAGTAGGCACACAGCATTGATAGTGTTCTAGGTAAAGCGCGAACCGACAATAACTTGATCACAAGTCCAGACTTTCTGATTCTATCAATATTTTAAGAGCCTTTTCCCAAACGGCCTTTTTACGACACGACTGAACTTAATTTCAATTTCAATTTTTCATTGTGCAACACTCCTCCTACATAACTACACCACATAGCGCAACACAGATCGCAGCGGCCGGCTCGAGAACCGGTTTCTTAGCGATAAGGAGTATTAGCCTATTGTCGGTTCTATGTTATAAACATTGTTTTAGTTCTAAGTTATTTCTAAGTGAAATGATGTTAACAGATTGCTCAAGGGTGATTCAACGTCCAGACAAACCTGTTAAGGTTTTGTGAAGTTTTACAGCTAACACCGTAA